AGCGACGGCTAGGATGCCGCTCCACCACAGGACCCATGCGGCTTTCTTGGAACGCACGCGAACCCACTGATGGCCTTGACATCGGAAAACTTTCTCCATGTCCACATGTTCTGGGGTAAATCTTGACGATGAAAATACCTGACGTACTCGTCGTAACTCCCTCCTACAAAGCCATACTGCTCCTCAAGTTCGCTCTGGATCACGCGTGATTTACCGGTCCAATCAATGCAATTACCCTCCTTTGCATAAAAATCCGCTTCCACTTGGGGCAATGCCGTCAACATGTCGACAAACGTGTCGTCGTTGGGCTCTGCAACTCGCGAAGCACACAAGGGCACCTGTGACGGGGACTTCAAAATCCGACAATAACCGTCTTGAAATCGAGCATTCTTCACAAGTTCGGCGGCTGCACTGCGGCCGCCTGTCCCAGCATCAGCGCGATACTGGCGGCGGCCCTCACGCTCAAGCTTGGCCTTGCGCCAAAGCTGGCGGAGGAGAACGTCTTCAGCTGCATGAGGGGCATTCCCGCTGCTGTCAGACGCAAAGTGCCTCTGAGACCCGTGCCATTTGCTGCTGTACAAAAAGTTCAGAAAATGCACCCACCTGCACACAATTTTCCATAAAGCGAGCTTTGCAGCCCATCGCTGCCGCAAGCGACGAGAGCGGCCCTCAGGCTCGGGCGGGCATGAAGGTGGACGCAAAGGAAAGCTTGCTGCATCACACCCAAGATAGCACTGCAGCAACTCATAATCATGGTTTGGTGGCATGCCTTGCAAGGGAACGTTTGCGCGCCCCGGGGTCTGCCCTTGCTCGTCCCCGAGGCTGCTTTCCCATCAACTCTGGGGGGACTCAGGCCCCTTGCCCGACGTGCCTTTTCTTCCTTTGTCCTTTCCTTTCTTGCCCTTGCCTTTGGTGGAGTCGGTCCACTGAGCACGAGCTCTTTCCTTGCGCTTGTACTCGCTCTGACTGTATGTTGAAGCTTCTGTGACCAGCCAGGAAGGCGCAATGTCACTGGCGAACGAGGACGGCTTCACTGCCAACATCGATTGAGCCGCATCCTTGTCACCCGTCCTCTTCTCGTGAATCCAAGAAGCCAATCTCCTCAATGCGATTTCGCAAGTATCGCACTGCCCAATCATGCTGAGTACTTGAGCTGGTGAGCCCGCGTCCTTGACTTTGAAATCCACTAAGGACGCAAGATTGAACAGCTCCACGTACTGGGGATGCTGCCTCTGGTCCACCGAAAACATGCTGTTGATCCAATCCCGAACGCAACGTACGCCAGCTGATTTCATCGACGTGTAAATTTCTGGTCCAGCTCGTTTCAGATCTGGTGGAAGCGCAGCATCCCAAGTGTCCAAACCTGCTTCTTCCGGCCACGGATCCTCGCCTTGGTCGCGGAAGGCGCTCGTGGTGTGGGCGAGCGCACCGGCGATTGACAATTCCTCCAACTTCTCCTTCAACTATTTAACTCGCGGAGGTGAGCCCACACCTTTCCCCAAGTAGCCATGGGAGAGCAGCAATGTCCGGACTCTCGGTTCCAATGGTTCGCGCCTTCCCACTTCGGCCCAGAAAGACCTCGCCCAAGTAGGCTGCAGGCTCGCTTTCCCATGCCACAGAACCAATAATTCCTTGATGGACTTGGCTTGGTGTTGCGCTTGAGTGCCTTCTGTAAGAGGAGCATAGTGTGGCGGCGGGTCTGGTGCTAAATGTTCGGTGGTCTGCTTCATGCTAGTGGGGACGTGAATCAACATCAACTCCTCCAGCCGATTGCGCTCGTCCTCCCCTCCGGGCACTTCGTCCAGCGAGGTGAGCACAAAATCGTCGGGCCGCACTTTTTCCACACGGGCGCCACCTGCAAGAGTGACGGTCACATCCACCGAGGAGACCCCTGTCACAACTCCGAAGCTATTCTTCACTGCAGACACTCGTGGACCTTCATTGAATTTCACCAGCGAGCCCAATGCTAGGAACAGTATCACCGAGGAGTCATCAGCTGACTTGGTAGGTGCTGTCTTCTGAAGCAAAACAGGGCGGGCATCGCTCTCCCCAGAATGACCATTTGGGATAGGTTGCAGGCTAGGAGGCCGCTCACTGCCGAGTAAGTCCACCGTCCTGCCCCAAGGAATGTCAAAACCATATCGCCGCCACCCTTCTCCGATTCCCACCAGGCATATCGCGACGGTGATGCTCGTCAAGGTGCGACGACCGGACATGGGCAAAACCCAAAGGAGCATACCTATGAACGCGGCTCCTATCCAGGCCACGCAAGCGAAGTGCCACCGTGCAAGCCGGTGTTCACGGGTCGCTCCCTCGCATCTGTCCAGCAACGATGCAACAACCTCCTCCCATGCGTCAGTCTCTGCCTCCATCATGAATGGAAACCGCTGCGCTGATTGCGTTGTGGCAACACAAACCTGCAATACTTCCCACATTAAACCATTCCAGACCTCAGAACTCGCGTCCGAAAGCGCTTGTAACTGGAACAATTGTTCAGCAACTGGCAACAAACCTTTCACCAAAGCTGCTTGTTCATCTTC